TTCAGATTCGGATTCAGCTGCTCATCTCCCTCGCCAAGATGCTGGTGGAATGTAGTGAAATTCTCCAGTTGCCACCTTCAATATTCTTAACTATTTTGAAAGGCAAAAAACCACAATTTCAGATCAGATATGGGTACCCCACTTCTTTTCCCTATTCCTCTGTCTCAACTTGAAGGCCTACCAAAGGGGACACCAACCACATCAGAGTTGGAGATCAGCTCATTGCCATACATAAGCCTCAATTTTTATTAGTAACAGATTGTAAGAAAATTTACAACACCCTGTCAATAGACAGGACAAGTCTCTACTTGAAAGCAATGGCATACTCTCCAACTTACTCTTTCTTGTGAATTCCAGTTAACATTTTCATGTAACCAATCATCTGTAAGAACTTTTAGGTGGGTTTTTCGAAGGCTGAGGGAAGCTCAGCCGCTCCAAAGTCAGGAGCCGATCTCCTCACACAAGTTCATTGCTTTATAAACCCAGTGCCGCATACTGCTTGAGAATTCGTTTATGTGTGCGGGCGCGATTCAACTCGGCAAACGAAGTAGTTGGTAAGTAATTCGGATACGATGTTGGTATATTGCTAACTACGCTCACATAAATCGTGTTTGCTGTTAATCTGTATGTGTATGTACACGGCGTTATTGGTGATATATTGTCGAGTAGTAGGCTCTGAGCTTTAGCATGAAATATCATTGCGTCGAGGCGGTCTTCCAGCCTGAGCACCCCATACGGTGTATGACCGTATTCCGTTTCCTAATTTCGCGACATCTTTTGGACTTTGATCTGTTAACTTCTTTTGACACGTCTTGTTGGGGCACATCTGCGGCTTTAGTCGGCTGCGTAGACGAACTCCGGCTTCTCAACAGACAACTACTATTGGGAGCATTAGCGCTGTGGGGATACATAGCCATGAAGGATTCCTTCTTTCGTAAAATTATTTAATTTGGTATTAATGCAATTGATGCATTGTTATTCTCGATTCTATTTGCTGTCCGTATATATATAAACTTTCTTCGATCAACTAACAGACGGGTAGTCCAGGCAACCGTATTCTCTCATCTTAATACTCGTACTAGACATATGCTTTAGGTTAAAGATGGTATATAAAATTGAGGCGAGTACTTAAATAATTAAATTAGCAGAGGCTTCATATAACAACATTGGCATCTCTGCGACGATTATATGGACGTCCCGTGCATTTAATAAGCACTATAGGTGCACTAAGGAATTCTTCATCCCGAATGATCATCGATGTAGTTTCTTATTTCCGCAGTAGAGTGGTCATTGGGTTTGAGAAAAATCTGCTGGGTTGGAATGTCCTGTCTCTGGATATTACTGATTTTTTTCTGCTCATAGCTGGCGATCCAATGCTTCGTGGTACCAGAATGTTGTCGGCTCTTTGTCGCTTTTGATTTTGACCATAAGCTCTTCGATAGCGGTGGCAGTCGTGCTTTGTTGTGCACGGAATCAGTACGGTTTCAAGTATTTTAGCTGCAGGTGGTAGTAGGCTAATCGGTATGTCATCTTTGATCGGAGTCACCTAGTTCCATACATTTGTCAGGTTTGAAAATGGGAATCTCACTCCTCTGCTATCATACATCTGAGATGAAAAGTTTGCCCGGTAAATGTTGAATAACGTAATTATGTACATACATTACTCTCGGGTCGTTGAATTCTTTGGCATCGGCGGTGATATGCCGTCCGATTCAGCAAGGAAATCCTGACCGGCTGCTGGCACAGAGAAAGTCCAAAAAGACGAATGATGGAAGCATGGTCACCTGCTATACATTCGAAAGGCATCTCCTCCAGTACGATATACAGACATATATTACGTCGCACAGCCAGTGGACTTGCCACATAAACTCGTTCAGATAACACCTCTTTTCTTTAAAACCGACGCCGCGGAAACAACAAATGTTTGGTGAAAGGTGAATGCAAAGAGGTACGGGGTATGATGAGGACTTTACCCGAGCTCTGGGCAGGTGTTTGGCGCTTCTACGCTCAGCCAAGGGAGATAGCTGTTGAGTCCGTGACACCTCCAGGATCGAAGCGGCGATGGGGTGTACCTGATCTCTCACTTGCATGAAGATTTCATCCAGATATTTTAGCATTATTGACGGCAGTGGAGTTTGTGTGTCTCACGTAGCACATTGCGGCGGGCTTTGTCGGCAGGTGAGCCCGCTGAAAAAGCGCGAAGTCGTCCGGAGTCCGACGATGAGTTGTTGACGAACGTACAAGCAACATTGTCCTGATGGAGTCCCACAGCTTCTGAAGAGCTTCCCAAAACGAATCTTGGCGATACTGCCGGCTGGTATGAAGCAGTCGGCTGCTGCTTTTATGATCCTGTGAATATCGCGCTCAGGTGCGATGGAGGTGCATTGAAATTTCGGTCGATGTATTCTGTAAAACGGACTATGCCAGTTGGTATTCCATGTACCTACATCAACACTACTAACTATAAGTGGGGTGGTGTAATAGTTACCACCCAATGCAATTTATCACACCCTCTCTTTCAGTGGTTGCAGGGCGAGCTGTTTACTTAGCCATGCCTAGATCGGCCTGTGGCTTAATCGTTGTCATCGAGCTGAACTAACGGTAGGCCCAGGAGTAGTGAGGTGCTCTCCGTATGCCGGACGCTCATTGGGCACATCTGCATTCATCCTATTCTGCAGTATCCAGAGCGAAGTTGGGATATGGTGCTGCGAGTCTCCCGAGGCATATGAAGTTCTATCTCGTCAGGTGACTGTGTTCCTAAAACGGCATTCACAGGTGGTCAGTTATTGTAAGTTTAGACCGAATCCATGTGTATGCCGTTTATGGCTGTCTGGTCCAGTGGTTGTTTTATGAAACTCTGTACCTCATACGTCAGTTCGTCCCTTCTGAAGTGCCTAAGCGAGGGCGCTGTAGCAAGCAGGCATCTGCTTAGTCATGTAGGTGGTGTTCTGGCGACATAAGAAGACATCAGAAGACATTCCGTGGCAGTTCGGAGTGCCGTGTTTTGGCAGGGATATAGCTTCATCCACTGCGACTACGGGCGCTGCATAGTTTCGAACCAGCCGACCAATCTCCATGTATGTAGCCAGCAACGATTATTCGGCTTTGTTCCGACGCTAGACTCTATTGACCATTGCGGTTGTGTTCGCTGGGGAAAAGAGTAGAACTCGGTTTTTACCCGACTAAGGGCTGTTGTTTCGGCGATCTAACCCTGTTTAGGTCGGCGAAATCTCTTAAATGTTATTCGTCCTAAGCGCAACATTTGCTCTTAAAATAGGCAGGTCTTAATAGTTCCTTTCAATAAAAAAGCCTCCCAAACACTTTTCTCTACTAATTTTTAAAATGAGTTCACACGTGGAAAGATATACAAAGTACAATAGGTCCTTGCGCTCTTCGAAAAACCAGGATCCTTAGTTTTTTCAGAATTTGCCGCTTTTATTAATAATTTATGTATAGTTTTTTTCATTACAAATTCAAGTTACATTATATGCCTCACAATTAGTTTAACTACATTTTACAGTATATGCACATTATTTACTAATAGTTTGTTAAATGAATTTCTATACGTTTCATTTTCACTTAAAATTGTTTGTATATATACTTTATATGTATTACGCTTGAATGGTTTAATAATTTATTAAGATTTTTTATATTTGTTTCAGTGATATACAACTTTCTTGTTATTGTTAAAGGTATATATTACGGTAATATATTGTATATGTGTATATATTGGTTTTCAATTTGTATGTGTTGTATATATACATAGTATGTAAAAATTCAATAAATACACATAACATACAATGTTGATTTCTTTATTTTTGTATTGTTTGTTGGGTTACACTTTCAGCAGAAGTTTAAGCTAGCAAAAGTTTTAAGTATTTTATTTTTTTTTTTTTTTTGTGGAACGTAAAAGAATACATAGTCGTAGAGTATATAAATATGTTAAAAAGTTATTAAGGCGTTTTGAAAGTAGATTTTGTTTTTTTTTTGTATTATTTTACAGTTATAGAGGCAGCAAAATGCAAAATGGTACATGAGTAACTAACTACAGATACAGATGTTTACAATATTTTGATTTAAAAAATATAATTAAGCTTTTGTGAGTAAAAATACTTTTTTTAGGTTCTAAAAGAAGTCAAGAGTTTGAAAATAAGTTCAAAGTGTAAATAAGTAAAATTTAGGAATAGCAAATCGCACACTTTCTTAACCAATATATTTACAGCAAGTTTTTGTTAAATTTTTTTCGTTATTTAATTCCTGCCTTTGATTATACTGAGCTTTTTTAATTTTCGTTCAACTTTCATTTTGCAACAGCAACTTTTGCTTATTCTCCATTTCTTACACATATTAATTTTGCATTTGTTTAACTTTTTGTTGTTATTATCTCAATATCACATATGCTTCCTTTCGAACGCATTAAATTCAGCTTAGGCTCTTAAATGCAACGCAAGGAAACATACATATGAATTTCAATCGTTCGTCATACCGCTAAATACCTTACATCATTTACTAGTACAACTTTTATAACAAAAAAAATATTTAACATGCATTAAACGAAAAGGATGTTTACCTTGTAAGAAAACTAAAAACCTACATATACATTAGAATTACATACTTTACAACAATGTATGAGCGCATTGTATTGGTGTTCTATAGAAAAACTCACAAAAAAAAATAATAAAAGCGCTCCACTAGCACTAAAACAGTTCACACGAAAGATTATCATTTCGAATACTTAGCGCACGCATAGTTCAAAGAAATGCCTCTACTGCTAGATGCATATAAAGAAATAAACGCAGTGCGGATGGAATTCGCTTAGCAAATTTGTGCATAGATTTTAAATGCAATAATTCGCCAACAGTCTCCGGTTAGCGTGCTTAATAAATTTT